CAAGAAATCTTGATGATAGAGAAAAACCAATGGTACCACTGAAATCAGCATACAAAAATTATGTAAGAAACATTAAAAAATTAACATAAACAAAAATGTTGTTACATGGTGTAATAATTTACCATTTGACAGCGAACTTATAATAAAAGAAATTAAAGATGAGAAAGATGAGAATGATGAGAAAGCATCTTTAAAGATCTTTTAAAGGTTTTTGATGGAATATTAGCTAATATAGAAGTTTCAAACAAAAAAAATATTATCAAACCTTTGTTTTATATTCTTAAACATTCAATAAATAAAGGCATATTTCCTAATATATTAAAAATAGCTTAAATTTACCCAATATAGAAAGACATTGATAGTTCCGATATTTCAAATTATAGACAGATATCTGTATTATCCGTTTTCTCAAAAATATTAAAACGCGTCTTGCATAATAGAATTTATGATCGTTTTGCAAAAAACAAGCTCTTTTATCCCAAACAGTTTGGTTTGCAGAAAAATACTTCAACTGAACATGCAATTATTGAGTTAGTTGACGAAATAACTAACGGGTTTAAAAAAATCAGTTCACACGGGAACTGATTTATAGATCTGTCAAAAGACTTTTAGAAAAGTTAAATTACTATGGTGTATCAAACAACGCATTTAGTTGGGTTAAAAAGCTATTTTACTAACCAAAAAAGTATTTGTCAACCCGGATTCTGGTACATTACAAATTTTGTGAGTAGTTCCACAAGATTTAATCTTCAGCTCTCTCCTATTTCTAATTTATATGGACAACCTCTGTAATATATCTGCAAAATTAAACTCAATTATGTATGCTAATGATACTAATTCATTTACTTCCAATAATGATATTAATCAACTATATGGAGATAAGAATATTGAATTGATAAAATTAAATAAACAGTTTAGAGCTAACAAACTCTCAATAAAATAATAGTACAGATAAATAACCGTTTACAAATATAAAAACTTTACGTGAATATAAACTAAGTTTTTATTTACGTAAAGCTGAGCAATTACTGAGTAAACTGCTTAGCTTCACATAAATAAAAATTTGAGAAAAACTCCAAAAGTTTTATTCACGTAAAGCTGGCCAATATGCATATATATATATATATATATATATATATATATATATATATATATGTATATATATATATATATATATATATAGGTACATATATATATATATATATATATATATATATATATATATATATATATATATATATATATATATATATATATATATATATATATATATATATATATATGTATATATATATATATATATATATATATATATATATATATATATATATATATATATATATATATATATATATATATATATATATATATATGTATACATATATATATATATATATATATATATATATATATATATATATATATATATATATATATATATATATATATATATATATATATATATATATATATATATATATATATATATATATATATATATATATATATATATATATATATATATATATATATATATATATATATATATATATAGTACTCGGAAAAATTATTATGGATTTTTAAAATTGTCACTAATTTCCATTAGTTGAGACTACTAAAAAGTTTTCAATGGGTAATTAATAACATTATAACATTATATATATAGATAGCCTAAAATATAAAGAGATAGCTATGAAATTGAAGATTTCAACACAAACAGTTAGTGCAGTGAAAAGAAAGTTGGGTGAGGGTAGAAACGTTGAAGCTGGAAGAGTTGGAAATTGCGGTCGTAAAAGAATCACTACCCCCAGACTTTAGAGAAAAATCAAAGTAATGGCCATCAAAGATGAAAAAAGCTCTTGCAAGAAGATATCTATGGAATTAGAAAGTCAAGGTAATAATGTAAGCCGTAAAATAGTGAATAATCGGTTGTTGGAGCAGAAACTGAAGGCATACAGACCAAGAAAAAAGCCAAGACTAACAAACAATATGAAGCATGGGTGGGCTGTTGAGCATAAATGTTGAACGCACAAAGAATGGTCCAAGGTAATCATTAATTTAGCTTTCTATTAGATCTCTGATAGTATTGATTTCTTACCTTTTTTTCAGCTTTATCATAAATTCTGACCAATATCTGTAGATGTTAACTTGTTGATCATAACTATTATTGTAATATTTGTACCATAATTTATTTGAAACTTATCAGGCATTTATTTTGTTCAGGTAGTATTTTCAGATGAATCAACAATTGCTGTGTTATATGATAGAATCTAGACAGTCAGAAAAAGGCCTGGAGAGGAGTTAAAGCCTAAGTGCCTTAAGAAAACAATGAAGTTCACTAGTAAGATCATGGTGTGAGGAGCAATATCCATCTATGGAAAAAGCCGTCTACATATTGTGAAAGGAATGATGAACCAGAAAAAGTATATAGAGGTGTTTGATCCCTCAAGTCACAGACTGGTTCACTAATAAGGATTTTATATTTCAACAAGATCGTGCTCCTTGCCATACGGGCAAATTGTCAATAAGATGGTTTCGAGACAATGGATTCTCTGTACTCGAATAGCCAGGGAATTCAACAGATATGAACCCAATTGAAATTTAATGGAATATTTTAAAGGACAAAATACACAAAGTTCCAATAACTACAAAAGCACAGCTTATAGAGAGGTTAATCCATGTCTGGTTCTACAGCAAAAAAATCCCAAAGTTATGCCGTGATTTAATCATAGGTATGCCCAAGAGAGTGAAAACTGAATTGTAAATAAATGTATTGAAAACTGCCAAAGGTTGTCAAACATAAAAATAAAGTTACAGATTATATATTCAAATACCTGGAATATATAATCTGTAACTTTATTTTTATGTTATGATTATTTTAAGGTAAAAAACTTGATTTTTGAAAGCTGTAAAATCTATAATAATTTTTCCAGTACTGTATATTTATATAAATATATATATATATATATATATATATATATATATATATATATATATATATATATATATATATATATATATATATATATATATATATATATATATATATATATATATATATATATATATATATATATATATATATTATATATATATATATATATATATATATATATATATATATTCATATATATATATATATATATATAAAACTATTTTTTATGAAAAAATCGCTTTGTACTTTTAAGATTTATTGCGGTTATTATTTAATTTTATTTAAACCTATAGTAAAAAAAATAACTTTTTTTTTTTTAAACACTAAGTTAATTTTGTTTTAATCAATGAAGTTATATTTAGCAAAGTTTTAGTTAACTGGATATGTTATTAGTATGTGAATTGTTAAAAATTCGGAATATAGTTAGCTGTAGTAGCAGGATTGCAGGTTCAAATCATGGCTCCGCCTACTCAGCGTATGACTAGTACTTTGGTTTGCACTTTGGGCTAAAATTCACTTTTGCTGGACAAAACTAATAACTCGTCATATAAAAAAGATTTTAGAACCATTTTTGCAATGTTTACTAATTTGAGGATTGCGGTTTTAATTTTAGTAGTGACACTATTTTTAACTTTGGGTTGCTATAATTACCTAAAATGCTTAGCAACCACATATTTTATTATATTAACAAATTTAAATTAGAAAAAATAATAACTTTATTGGATTTCTCCCATGATTTCCAGATTGAGTATTTTGATACTACAAATGTAGTGCTACTATGGATTTTTCATTTGGCTGATAGTGACACCTGAAATGCCTGACGCTTCATTTTGCAGATTTACTAGCTTAAGTAACTTTTCTTCAAGTATTAGAATTTACAAATAAGTACTTTAAGATATATAATTAATAAAACAACTTTTTATCACTAATCTAGTCTTGCTGAGATCCAATTATTACATAACCAGTTAGAATAAAGTACATATAATGTTTTCACCACATAAAATCGGATACATCATTTAACCGGTGGGAGGTTAAACTAGCTAGCCGCTACTATGGGTAAAAGACGCGTTAAAGACGGATAATAATTATACAAATATATTTATACATTTTAGAAAAGTTGAAATTTTTAGCTATAAAAGGGTATATAACAATGTAATTCTTGATTTTTTTTTACTTTTG